AGAGGTAGTAGTGGTAGTAGTGGTAGCAGTAGTAGGAGGAGTAGTAGTAGTAGTAGTAGTAGTAGTAACAGGAGTAGGAGCAGGAGCAGGAGTAGGAGAAGAAGAAGGAGTAGGAGTCGTCGTCGACGTCGTCGTCGTGGTGGTGGTGGTGGTGGTAGTGGTAGTAGTAGTAGTTGTTGTTGTTGCTGCTGTTGTTGTTGGTAGTGGTGGTGGTGGTGGTGGTGGTGGTGGTGGTCTTGGTCTTGGTCTTGGTCTTGGTCTTGCTCTTGCTCTTGCTCTTGCTCTTGCTCTTGCTCTTGCTCTTGCTCTTGCTCTTGGTGTTGGTGTTGGTGCTGTTGTTGTTGTTGCTGCTGTCGTCATCGTCATCGTCGTCGTCGTCCACCGTCTGTTAAACTGTTAAACACTGAACCCCAGAACAGAACTTTTTCTAAATCAAACAGTACCAGCATACTGGCTGTTAATTCTTGGGGCAGCCGTTAGCTATGGACACTGGACCTTGAAAGACTTCCAGGACGATGGGCAAAGACCTTAGCGCTGTGCTACGACTTGAACCTTTCTTTGGCTATAAAGGCCCGGTTGATGTGGCTGTGTGCATATCAGACCATCCAGAACGCTACTCATTCACTACAGAATACATACGTTTATGGGCGTTGCTGCAGATGTTAAGTTTGGGCAGGCTTGACTAGCGGCAACGGCGCGTTGCTTCCAAGTTCTGAGCTTGCATTCTTCCCGACCCTGAGAAACATCATCCCAGTGCCGTTTCGGGTGCAGGTATCGATCCTGACCTTCCTTGCAATCTCCTGTCTCCTTCTTCTGTATGCCTCTCTGCGGCAATGGGAACATGCACTGGGCCGTTGCGGTTCAGGCCTCGAACGTACAACATGGAACAAGTACCCGAAGTAGCCCTCAACCCGAAACTTTACCAAACCCTGATCAGCACCCAAAACTTTAAACAAGTAGCGACTCAGGCTGGTGGTTTCTCGATCGCCAGCATCGACGCGCTCGCAGGTATGGCTTCGGGTGAAAAACATCTGGGAAGTTCAGGGTTCAGGGCTTAGGGCACAGGTGGTTTCAAGCAGTGGAACGAGACAAACGACAGGCTATAGCAATCTCGAAGTGATTCGTGGAATTATAATGAGTCGTGTTACACGACAGGTGATGCCTGTCGGGCTTTCTGGAGAGAGCATGCGCAGGAATGTGACTCCCTGTGCTCAGGCAATCCATGGTTGCTGCCCTTGACCGTGGATACCTTCAAGATTTAAACAGGTTTGAGGGTTTAGGGATGTTTCGTCGTTGAGAGTTGGGAGACGATTTTTGTGCCCGCCCGAGAACTATTCTAACAAGTCTTTGTATGCCAAGGACATGCCAATGGCTGCTTTCTTCTTCGTGTTTGCCTTCGGCCACTATTGCAAGTGTTGGGTGAGACAGATACTGTGGCTGGACAAGATTTGCATCTCACAGACTCTCTGCAGACACAGCACATGCGGTTTTGCAGGTTTTCTTTGATCAGTATATAAACTCTACAATAGAAGGCAATGCTGACAGAGCCTTGCCTTGGGTTTGTCACTCGTATCGAATGCTTTCTTGGCTGTCGCCCATGCTCAGCTGTCCATGCAAGGACGGACGTGCAATGCAAAGCAGAAGCTATCGCTGCACTTCCGGACTTTGTCAAGCGATCTTCTCGAATGCTGATCCTTTGGGATGAGACTTACTTTGAGAGGTTATGGTGCAACGTAGAAATTGTCGGGCGCTCAGTTGCGTAGAAATCGACTTGGCCAAACGACCCAGTCCACCTAACCCTGCCAAAACAGCTAACAGATGAGGCCGTGTTCCTCAAGAGCCATCCGGATCCAAGCGCAATTCGGATGATACCTCTTTGGCTTTCTCCTTGGCTACTTTGCAGCCTACTCCTAGAGTGGGTATGTGCCCGCTACACCGTTCCGCTGATGTTCATGCTGCTTGCAGAGTGGTCCTGGGTGTCCGGAGCCCCGCCACAGTCGCGACTCGACTGGGTTCTTCGCAATGTAATCTTTTGTCTCACCAGCACAGTTGCTCATCTCCCTTCAGCTCTGCTCGCGACTCTGTCCTTCACTCTGAAGCTTCGCCAGCACGGCCGCTTGTTGGATCAGCTTCGAGACTTCGACGTTCGGTCTTCAAAGTGCACTGTGGAGAGCGATCGCCCTATGCTGGAGGCAGAGATAGCCAGCTTGCACAAGGAGCAGAAAATGTCCGTTGAAGACGTGCCTTTGCTCTTCAGATCCTCCGGCATGGACGTAGATCAGGAGGAGTGCCTCGATCTCTTTAGCGCGTATGTTCGTGGGCAGCTGCACGACCAGATCGTGGAAGAATTGGGGAACCGAACAGAGTTGCCTTTTGGCCTTTGCATCCTGGTGTACATGCCTATGCACTTTTTCAACTATGCGGAGTCATTTCTGGCATGTGAAGGATACGGCTGTGAAAATGCACTGCAGTACTTCGGCTATCAGTCTGTCCAGCAGCTTTTCATCTTCGATGCGGTGATTTATTTTATCATGATGGTCACAACGCTCCCCATGACATTTCCGTGTCTGTTGAAGATGCTTGACCTCAGTTACCTGATTCCAGGTGGTGCCGTCGTCCAGGTTTTCTTTGCGCTGGCAAGCGGTCTGTTTTCATATGCGTATGCCTTCTGTATGGGTGGTCTCGTCGGAGGTTTCCTCATTGGCTTCATGGTGAAAGGCCTCTCTGCGTGCTGGCTCGTATTTTTTGTGGGTATCCTCGGGTTCCTGCTGGTACAGTGTTTGACAGTTTTCTGCGCCAAGTCTACCTGGTCCAGCTGCAATGCTGGTCAACTTGGGTGCAGATGCCTTGGACGCACATTCTAAGGACGACACTTTGTGTCCGAGTACTCGAAAATGTTTTTGACAACACCCACGCGTGGGTGTTGTTTGCGATGTCTGCAGTATGCCAGATGCCTTATGATATGTACGCCTAAAGGGCGGGCACAACGCATGCGGTTCGCAGTTAGGGGTCCTTTCGCTCAACGTTCCATCTTGAAGCTGGCCTTTCAGCTCTGCGAGCTCAGTACTGCCGTGTTAACTCAGTCCATGAACCCCCCGCCTGAACAGAGGAAAAGATAGCCGCTAGCCGCTAGCCGGCAACACCATTGTGCTGCATCACCTCGAATGGCATTGCATGTTCGCGGATCCAATTCATTCCGGCGCACTCCATCTGCCATGGAAATCCAACCAAATCTTCAGACTGCTAAAAATCCTAAACACTAAACCCAAACCCCTAAACCAGAAGACTCTTCGCTGGGCCCGGATGATGTAGTTCAGCCTGCTATTCACTGTCGTGGACTGCGCTCATCGTTCTGAAATTTGTCGTCATGCACGAGGTGTTAGAACCAGTCCAAGCATGTCAGCCCTGCATCCCCACACCGTAAGAAATACCCCCTTAGAAAACCTTGCACTGGGATTGCATCAGCCATCACTCAGCTTCGTGGTCAAGAATCATGAACACTTCTATAGGACTTCTGGACCCTAGGCTTGTCAAGCCTCTATGTCCCTCTACCTGTACGGGCCCTTACCAAAATCTTCATGAAGCCGGCAAGAAGCCAACAAGCAATCACGGTCCAACGCCGCTTCAGTGAAACGAGCCGGACAAACAAGAGTTTCGCGCGGACAACTGTCTTAACTCCACCCTCACACTCACATAGACCTAGGCCTAGACAGGGTCTCGGAGTTTAGGCATGACATTTAAAAGCTTAGGATTGTACCATAGTAGGACCCTACCCAAGAATTGACGAAGTCCTTTAAGTTCGCTTCCCTGCTCCAGTCCTGACCACATCCCCGCCGAGCGCCGTCGGACGCTTCGCACAGCCGTTCCTAGGCTAAGCTTACACATACTTAGGGACTAGGGTTTAGGGTTTAGTAATTTAGGGTTTAGGGTTTAGGGTTTAGGGAGGGACATACATGCATGCGTGCATGCATGCATACAAACATAGATGCATACATACAGGCATGCAAGATATACAGACACATACAGACATGCATACATCTACATGTACGTGCACATGTACCCGTGTATGCACATATACACATGTTTACATATATATATAGTTGATGTGTACATAGATGTTACACACATACAAGCATGTGTATATACATCTACAGACACACTTTCATGTATAAACAATAAACAAAAAGAAGCGCACCACATTGGTTCCGGTAGATCTTGTCACTGTAGGTATAGTGGTCGTGGCTGTCGGCGTAGTTGTAGATTGTAGCAGCATCAGTATCGTCGTCGTCGTCGTCGTCGTCGTAGTAGTAGTAGTAGTAGAAGCAGCAGCAGCAGCAGCAGCGTGTGTAGGAACGAAGGGGTAAGCGATCTAGATACGGGCAGACATGTATGTATGCAGCATACATGCATGCATGCTTGTATACATACCTTACTTGTAGATACATTCAGGTACATACATATGTACAAACATACATACCTACATGCATCATTACTTGCAGTAGAAGCCCAAAAGTTGGAAACCCGATAGCCTCAATCCTGAAGAGCAAATAATATGGATGCCCAGCACTAATTGTCCGTAATCCGGTTTCCAACTTTTGGGGTTTACTGTACTTACATACATACTTACACACTTACATGATACATACACAGAGCGCCCTACAGTTCACATTCAAGAGCAGCACTCAAACCAGTATCGTCGCCCTTTGTCTTCATAACTGCTTCTCTACTTTCCACCACTGAAGATCCTGATGGTGATGATGATGAAGACGATGCGGATGGATTGTTATGTCTGCGGCTTCCAATGAAGGCCCGCCCTCTCTACATTGCATGTTTACCGTCGACACGTGTTCGCCAGTCCCAACAGATCATATCCTACAATGACATACTGCCTTCTGTTCCGCAATGCTAAAGTATCTGGAAGGGTTGCATTCCGTGCTGTTGCAAATGCTACGCTTCAGAGCTCTCGATGTGTTCTGCATTACCTTCAACGCTATTTAATCTAAGCGCTAAGCCCCAAATCCATAAACCCCTAAACCGCCCGAAGCCCAAATCTCCAGAGTACTAAACCGGATCTTACAGAAGACTTCAGGCTTCTGCGCCTGGTGGCGCTGACTGTGGGCTGGTCGTTACATGGCTGACACGGGGTGTCGGGGGCTGAAAGCTCGTCACTGTTAGGGTGAAGGGTTTGGGGTTGAGGGCTGAGGGTCGCTTAGGGGTCAGGCCTTAGGCTAGCTTAGGCTTTCTGGGAGTTTTCCTGCGCGTAATTCAGCTGCAGTGCTTGGGAAATCGGCTGCAACAGCCCTTGGTCCTAGTAGCAAGTATGGTATGCAGATATGCCGAGACCCCAGTTAAGCTCTAAATTAAATACCTTGAACGTACAACGCTCTCTAGAGTGCCTGACTTCGATTTAACTCTTCTGTTGAAAACAGATCCGACGACTGGTAGGGTGAACTTGAACCCCAAACCTCACGCCCGCAACTGAAACGCCTGATTTCCTGTACCCTAAGAGCTCTAGTACCTGAAGCGCCTGAACTCAGCCCCTCGACCCTGAGAATCCTCCCCATAAGCTGACAGGCTGACACTAAGCGCACCTTGGCCAAGCTGGAGGACATGTTCGGGTTGGGGGTTCATAGGATTTAGGCTTGAGTGTTGCTGATGGGCAGAGGTTCTGCATGGTTTCGAGAAGCCTAAGCTGCGGGAATGGGGAGGGTCTGAAGGTTGACGTGGCATTTTGGTCGTAAGTCGCAGCAGAAGTTATAAGCAGGAAGGCACCCAGTTCTAGCTACTACGTGAAAACGGATAGGGCCTCGCCTCGCCCAGAAAGACCAGAAGCACAGAAGCCCAATAAAGCAGTGATATCCCTGTAAGCTGCTTGTTCTCGTGCTTTTCTTTTTTTTTTTTTTTGGGGG